TCATTTCCGAGATCTTTGATTCGGAAATAAGTCAGTTCTTCGCTAGACACCCTTCATCTTATTCTGTTTTTCTTTTATTAGTTTTTCTAAACTCGCTGTTCTTTTTTAGGCACTTTTAGCAAATTAATAATTTTAAAGATATTTCATTGTGACGTCAAAACAACATTTCGTGCTAAATTTCTCTATATTAAATTTATAGCAGAAACGTATATTATTAATATGAAACTCACGGATTTAAAGCCTTAAAAAGGTCAGCATTTCTTCCATGTTGACTAAGATTTTTTTTTAATATTACTGATTACATTCGTATGAAATTCTAAAACAAAATGACCTACTAACATATAAATTTTTATATCAAATACACTATTAATGACATTAAGTGATGAATTTTATACTTTATTGTGAATAAAGAAGACGTAATTTAAATTAAAATATTTTATTTCATCGGTAAGCTTCATTCAACTTCCTCAAAATACTTAAGAATTTAAAGCATTAAAATAAAACGAAGAATTAAGGAAAATAATAGCGAATATCATAAATGACAAAATGAAATTAAAATAATTTACAAAATCAAAAAGTGAGTATTCACTTAAAGGATAAGTTAAATTTTTAAATGATTTCAATAGTTCAATTTTTATTTTTAAGGTTCATCATTTAGAAAATTTACAATTTCTTTTAAATAAAGTAGAATTTTAGATTTTATTTCTTTATTATAGCTATCCTTGATGATGTTGCTGGTGCCGTTAACGCTCTTCTCTAATGCTTAGAAAACAGAATTCCATAAAAAATACTACTTTTTTGATGAAATGAAGATTAAGAAAAATAAATAAAAGCATTTATAAAAGTTGCAGTGTTTTATTAGTAATATATTTGGAATAATTACTATTACATTTCATGTAAAAAGTCAAGCCTAATTTTTTGCAATCATACTTGTCACCTTTTACAATTTTGTACTTTGTACAAAAATGTACGTTGTTCTTTTTACGTCCCTCAGTGGACTGATCGTAATGATATGGTTCTCAGCTGAACACCGAATTCTATCATCACTGGCTGCGGTCAGTAAGCGGGTCGGTGACCACTTTGATCAGCCTTTGTGGAAACTGAGGATATGCGGTATCGGTCCTCGTTAAACTGTTCTACCGTAAATTGTTTGACGTCGAAAGCAGTTCGTCCGGCTATCAAAGCGGAAGAGTCATCCATTCTGAAGAGGTTCAGAATTGTGATGGCATGTCTTTGGATCATCTTCAGGGATGCTTCCCAGACCGTCACCAATAGCCCATTGTGCAGCTTTAGTGCAACGTAAAGAATTTATTCTCATCAAGCTGGAATCTAGGAATTTATTCTCATCATTTCCGAGACCTTTGATTCGGAAATAGTTCGGTTCTCCGCTAGACACCCTTTATTTAATTCTTTTTTTCCTTAATTAGTTTTTCTAAAATCGTGGTTCTTTTTTAGGTACTTTCAGCAAGTGAATAATTTTAAAGATATTTTATTGTGACGTCAAAACAACATTTCTTGCTAAATTTCTCGTCATTCAATTGATAGCAAAAAAGTATATTATTAGTATAAAACTTGCATATTGTGAATTTAAATTCTTAAAAAAATCAGCATTTCTTCCGTGTTATATATGATTATTTTTTTAATAATACTGATTACATTCCTAAGAAATTCTAAAACAAAATGACCTTCTAACATTTAAATTTTTATATCAAACACACTATTAATTACACTAAGTGATGTATTTCATACTTTATTATGTATAAAGAAGACATAATCCATATTAAAATGTTTTATTTCATCGGTGAACTTCGTTCAACTTCCTTAACATACTTAAGAATTTAAAGTATCAAAATAAAAGGAACAATTAAGGAAAAATGATCGCGAAAAACATAAATGACAAAATGAAATTAAAATAATTTACGAAATCAATAAAAAGTGAGTGTTCACCTAACGGATAAGTTACATTTTTTAAATGATTTCAATTGTTCAATTTTTATTTTTAAGGTTCATAATTTAGAATTTCTTTTAAATAAATTAGAATTTTAGATTTTCTTTCTTTATTACAGCTATACTTGATGATGTTGCTGGTGCCATTAACGCTCTTCTCTAAAGGTTAGAGAACAGAATATCAAAAAAATACTACTTTTTTGAAGAAATGAAGATTAAAAAGAAACAGTTATAAAAGTTGTAGTGTTTTAATAGTAATAAATTTGGTATAATTACTATTACATTTCATGTAAAAAATCAAACTTAATTTCTTGCAATTATCCTTGTCACCTTTTACAATTTTGTACTTTGCACAAAATGTACGTTGTTCTTTTTACGTCCCTCAGATGACTGATCGTAATGATATGGTTCACAGCTGAGCACCGAATTCTAGCATCACTAGCTGCGGTCAGTAAGTGGGTGTGTGATCACTTTGATCAGCTTGTGTAGACACAGAGGGTGTGCGGAATGGTCCTCGTTAAACTGTTGTACCGTAAAGTGTTCGGCGTCAAACACAGGTCGTCGGGCTACCAAAGCAGAGGAGTCATCTATTCCACATAGGTTCGGAATTGTGATGGCATGTCTTCGGATCATCTTCAGGGATGTATATCCCAGACCGTCACCAATAGCCCACTGTGCAGCTTTAGTGCAACGTAAATAAATAACTACTACTACTACTACTAATATTAGATTTTTAATACTACTGGGGAAAATGGTAAGAATTAAGAGTTATGAAATGGTTTCATGAGGTAACTTTAAAAAAAACTATAGTTCCGAAAAAAGACAATGTATCATGTAATATGTGCATGTAATACAAAATATACACAAAAGGAAGTAAAGATAAAAAGTTGAGTTTAGAAAGATATTTATTATTATTTTTGTCCAATAAAATGAAATTTTTTCTATCGCATCATTTAATAGTTGTATAGTGATCCTCTTTCCATATTATAACAATTAAATTTGACTGGACGTATTAAAAACCATTAAATTTATTCCCTAGGCTAAATGATAAAGGAATAGCTTGAAATAATTCACTTTAAAAAAAAAGTTTTCACAGAATTCGGCAAAAATGAGTTAAAATAACTCCAAATTAAAAATAGTCGAATTTGGTAACCCTATAATTTCAAAATTACAACAGCATACACTCATTTTTAAACAAAATGCATGAGGAGGGAGAAATATGTTACACAGATGCTCTTTGGCTGCCGACAGGATTCAAACCAAGAACCTTTCAAAATCAAGGATGATATAAACACCATATATAGTTGGGGCGCATAATATAGAGGCAACCACAATAACATATCATCACTTACATCGCTTAAAAGTTTTTATGATATAGTGAATAAACAAAAAGCGAAATTAAAATGATGGAATTCTATACTAAGCTATTGCGACCATATTTTCCCACCTGCAACTTTTCGTAGCATTAAAATAGGAAATTATTATGACTTGATGTGTCAATCCGGCTGCCCCTATATAAAACTTCCCAATTCTTCCTCTACAACAATAGTGGCTAGAATATCCTGCTATGAGCCCGGAGGTCCTTTTGTTCGAATCTAGCCAGCAATTAACGAATGCATCTCTAACACATTTCTCATATCATAAGCCCCCATTTGGCTCAAAAATAAGTGCATACTATTTCTATTTTGAATGAATGGGGTTTTCAGTATTTGTCTATGGGCAATTTTGACACACTTTCTCCTAAGTTCAAGAAGCCCTTTTTTAGATAGATTAAAAATAGACAGATTTAGTTGTAGATTGAAATTGTTTAAAACAACTTTTACCAGTGGTGGTCTGTGTGTCAAATGACGGTTTTCAATTTAAACAATTTTAATACACTGTTTGACACTTAGAAAGGAATAGTTACGCTTTTCGGAATAATTAATAATAGACGCTGATTTATCAAATGAAACTAAATACATATTTAGTAGCGGAGATGTACATTTATTATTATGCGAAATAGTTCAGATATCGAAGTATCAAAAAATATTAAAATTAAAAAAAAGAAGATGCTAATTTGATTTCCAAACAAATTGTTTTTATGACATGCTCTAAGTTATTATGATAAAATCAAATTTTGTAAAATATTATAAAACCATATTTTATTGTAAATTGTATCAAAGCTCTTTGGTAAAAATTAGCGAACTTTTGAACTTTTTGCTGCTCCTATATGTCAAAAAATAAAAAATACCAACTAAGCTCAAATAAGACTCAAAGAACTTCGAATCAAATGATTAAAAAAACTTGACTGTTACGTTTATTAAAAGGAAGATTTATTAACTAAACAACAAAATTACAGCATCGCCGTTCCAAAAAAACAAATCTTACACTCTCTCAAAAACTATTTACATTCCAAAATATCACCATGGCAACCACAAAACTCTTCTCGTTGCCATCTACTAACTGACGTATAATAAGTAAATTATTTAACAAAAAATACGATGCACATAAGCATATAATATTTTACATATAGAGCTAAAAACATGGTATATGTTACTATAGTCTGGTAGTTTTGACCATATCGTTTTCAGCGTGTGTCGTTAAATTGCTGATTGTCTGTCGATTCAATCTGAATTATTTTGAAAGCATAAAATTTAGTTTTTTAAGGTTATAGCTCTATATTCCTTTAGCTTTTTAAATCACGATCAAATTTACGATAGAATGACAATTCAAAATTGAAAGGCAAATGCATGGTTAAAAAGAAAATCAGCAGCAAATATATACAACGATAGGCAGCTAAAGAGCAAGTATTTTTACTATGATATAGTTCAAAGAACATATAAGTTTGACACAAATGAATCATAATCTTGCATTTTTCCTAATAGTTACTAAATTACACATAAAACCCTTTTATAGATAGTTACTGTCTTTCTTATTAACTTCGAAAGATTTATTTTTAAACTGTTCAAACAACCTGAAACATTTTGTGCAGTAAAATGTAATTAGATTTATTTTGTTCAAAAATAAATAATAAATCTGTATGCTAAGTTGACTCAGGTGCTGAAAAAACGTTTCCTATAAAAATATTTCCCTTATAAATAGACTTCTGAATTGCTTTTATGTACTTGGTATGTAAGAAGCATTACTTTTTACAATATGAATTCAATTACAACTACCTTATATGCTGCCGTCATGGCTGCTTTAATAGCAATTTGTAAGTATATTTTAATAAAATGAATTAGTCTTAATTTTAACTTCTATAAAAAGTTTTGAAACACTATTTGTATTTGTTAAATCTATTTAGATTATAATTAGATTTTTTAAATTTTAATATCTAACTAAAACGTTTTTCATGACCCGTAAAACATATTTATTTAAAAAAACAATTCTTTAAGAACTTTTTCCAGTTATATTCGCTGAAAAATAAATATATTTAAATATAATGGAAAAATAATAATAAGAGAATTTTAATATTGCGAAAATATTGCCATGTATTGTACAAAAATGTATTGCTTTTATAAATGGCGCAAAATTTGTTATGCAGTAGGTTTATATATGATCATCGGGATGAGAGTCTTAACGTTCATAATAATAATTCATTATAATTCATAAATGTTTTTATAAAAAACTACGTAGGTCAATAGGGGAAATAAGTTTTTACTTCACATAAAAAGGAAAGAAAATACAAATTTGGCCTTGGAATAGAACCAGTCTGCTATAACTATTTACAAATCTATGACTATTGGAAAGAGATGCCTGATGATAGTAGAATTTTTTCCGGCTCAAGAGCTGATATGAATCTCTACGAGAATGGTCATCTGCAGATGGTGAGTGTGACGAAAATTTTGCTGCAGAAATTTCCATGGCAGGTGCTTGACCATTTAATCGATAGTCGCGATCCCGCTTTTAGTAGCTTCCATTTATTCTTACATCTCCATTGTTATAAATTTCTCGAGAAAAAAATGGTAAAATAACAATTATTTAATTGTTTTTTTACTATATTTAAACAAAACAGTAAAGTAACCGTACATAAGATAGTATTCAAACTGTAAACCATTTTTTAAATGCCTTCACCTAATACGCTGTTAAACAAACAGAATTTTATCACACTAACTAGACCCATCCAATGAAGACACTTAGTTCCTTGCAGAAGGGTACATATTGTAGCAGAGAGGGCTAAATATATAATCTCATGACCAGCAGCACGAGGGTTCGAGTCCCAGCATTGACAAAGCAAAATATTAATATTTGTTTATTAATATTTGTTTATTAATATTTGTTTATTAGTATTTGCTTATTAATATTTGTTTATTAATATTTGTTTATTAATATTTGCTTATTAATATTTGTTTATTAATAATTGTTTAATGATAATTTCTTATAAATAACAGTTACTTGATAGTCAAGGAATCCGCTTCTCAAATTTCAACCTTTAGTCAATCAAAGAAATCATATGTAATTTTAAAGGAACAAAACATCATTAAAAAAAAGTAGAACATCTAAATTTCTTTGCTTAAATTCTAACTATAACAACATTTTTTGGTGATGTTTAAATATTGTATTTTGGGTTTTATTTCCAACAAGTAGGTTTATTAAAACTAACTGGTACAAGCCATTTAGTTTATTGAAATCATGGTATTTCAATTATTGAATCAATATTAATATTGAGTTATATTATTTCATTACAGCTTCTGCTCAACTTAAATGTAAGTAAAATTTTCTACTATCGCAATAAATGTATGCCGAAGTTAAATAGTAAAAGTCCATTTTCTCACAGAGTAATATTTAAAAACTAAATTGTTTTATTTTTTATTTTTTTAAAAAAGCTAACTTTTAAAACATTGTTATTTGTTACATTAGATCCATTAATTCGTATGTTTGAAACTTATATAAAATATTATGAAGCTTATTCTATCTGGAGAAATTTTGTGACTGATTGCTTGTAAGTTATTATGAATAATCTTAGGAAATGAGTTAAGAATTAATGATTCAAGATTCTGTAATAAATTGTCTTACAATCTATTGTAATTGATCTATTAACTTTCACTATGCATCAATATGAGAAAATGTGTAGCGAATAATTTAAGATTTGGACGGAATGTTGAAATAAAATCGGCATACGTTAATACGTTTAGCAGAGTAATCCTAATCTACACTGCAAAAAATGTTGAATCAAATTACGGTAAAAAATGCCGGCATACTGAATGCAACATCAGTAGAAATTTCACAGTAATATTTTTATAATTACAGTAATTTTACTTTAAATATTACTGTAAAAGTTACGATTTCTTTTATTTTTTGTTCGGTAAAGAATTGCAAAAAATAGCAATTACTTTTTAATACAATTTTTAAGGATATTAAGGATACAATTTTCTAGAACATCGGAGTTGCTGCCATATAGAGTCACATTTTAAATAAAATTAAGAGCAATCATTTATTAATAAAATGTCGTTATTTATATTTTTAAATGACAAATATGTATCTCTTATGGGTTGAAAATTGCCCTCAAAAATTTTACGCACAACAATGGATGCCCTTGTCACTACTGTTCTTCGTGTAACAATATTAATAAACGAAGCTATATTTTACCATTTGTACTTGCGAATTGAACTACAATCTCAGACTTGAAAATATATTGAAATTTCCTGAGATCATTAACTTCACGAAACGCTATCAATTGAAAATTGTGCGTTTTACACTTTTAGTATTACTAATAAATGCTTTAAATAGACGATGTATCTTCAGTTAAACTTTTCTTCCAACATCTTCTCCCAATTTTCTTTCAAACATCACCTCAAATATGAGAAATATAGAAGTTTCATTAAAAAGGGTTACTAAAGCTACCAATTATTTTTATTTTTGTCTTTAACATAGTATGTAACGGCAAACACACATATAATCTCGAAGTTAAATGTTCTAGAATTAACAGCTACTTTAAATTGAAAAGCGTATCTATAATCCCAAGGGATGATATTTCACGTTTTTATGCACTTTTAGCTAGTTAAAAGATGAAAATAATCCTTTGATGCGAAATTAGTAGAAAACTAATAGTTTTAATATGTGAATTTAAAGAAAAAGATCCATTACTGTTGATCACTAATAATTTTCTTTTCTTTCAGCTGTTGTCGATGGAGATAGTAAGTCATATTGTTTATGTAAAACAGTTAAGATTATTGCATAAATTTTACTGAATAGAAGTATAGAATAAATATATGTTAAAATATGAGGGTATATCCGAAAGTAATGTTTCAATTTTATTTTATAAAATGTTTCTAAATTTCGATCGTGTTATAGAGGCAATGAATCATAGGATTTAAACTAGTTATGTAATTTATGCCATTCTGAAAATTTTCAGGATAGCATAAATTATGGCACACATTTAGTATGGATTACACAAATTTAGTATTATGCAAATGTATAATAAACGTATGCATTTATCATCGATATGAAGTTTCAGTCTAGTAAAAATGAATAATCTGTAGCTATTATATAAAATTAAATTAGTATTCGAATTCGAGAATCTAAGTTCTAAACGAAATGTAAAGTTCTTAAATCATTCTCTAAATTTTCATTTTAAATTTATATTAAACTTGATAAAAAAAAAGTGCTTTGACTTTGTTAAATGAGAAAATTTTAGATTTTTTGATAAAATATTTTTCGTCCTAAAATGTCTCCACAATCAACCCCTTTTTCATTTTGATACTTTTTTGGAAAAATTTATAGTTTATATTATATTTTTATTTATATTATACTTTTGAAAGTGCTCTTTTTTGTTATAAATGAAACATCGTAAAAAGCAGTTTGAGAAATAATTTTCCTGAATTTTAATAAGAAAGTGGAGAGGTATACATTTCTGTGCATGGCATTTTTAGATAATGTCTTAAGATACCACACATTTTTAATTTATGCACTATCAAACTCACTCAATTTACTTTTATGCATTAAAAATAACTCCAGTTTTAATTTTAAAAAAAAAGAACTTGTAAAACGAAGAATCTTTGCATCCTTCTAAGGAAATCAAGGAATTTATTCTCATCAAGCTACAAAAATATTTGTAAAGGCATAAAAATGACATTGCTGATTTAATCCCTTAACGATCGGTTAATTTTCAAGAAAACGGTCATAAAAGTGCCTATTTTTTTACCTTTGTATTTGTATTACGTGATGACTAGGGCTTACATTATAGTTGAAAATAAACTAGCTATCTACAATTACCTTGAAAATATCTTGGTACTGCCACCTGGTGTGTAAAATGAGAAATAAAATATATTCCGGACAAAGGAAATTAATTAGTTTTATTCTTTTTGGCATGTTACTACTGAACACTCCAGCCCGTCAATATCACGGGAGCGAGAAATAGAGGGCGAAAACTCACCCCGTCATTTTCACGGGAGCGAGAAGGAAGGGGTTAAAACTAACTGGTTTTCTAAGTAGATTTCGTTAAACTTTACACTTCTAAAGGATGTTCAACGAATTATTGACTGATTTCAGAATTAAAAATCTCGGAAATAAAAGGCGTTAGAGAAAGGAAGCAACGATATGTCTATAGTAAAAGCGGTTAAAATTTATACTGAAATTTTAGAATTTCGTTGAAAAAGTTGACAAAAGATGGAGCCGTACTGAGATCTTGTAAAGGATACAAATGCTGTAAAGCTGTTTTTAAACCTATGATATCTCGGTACCAAAATCACAAAGTGTTAAATATTATACTTGGTATAAGCATCCTATTCAAGAATTACTGTCTCCATTCCTGTTTTAAAACTAAAACTAATAGTTTTGATCTCCAAAAGCATGCAGCTACATCTGTTGGCAATATTTGAAATTAAATTCCAAAATTTCTGCATAAAGTATTTACCGCTTTCACAGTTAACATACCGCCTGTTTCAGTCCTCCATCTCCTTTTATTTCCGAGATCTTTGATTCGGAAATAAGTCAGTTCTCCGCTAGACACCCTTCATCTTATTTTGTTTTTCTTTAATTAGTTTTTCTAAAATCGCTGTTCTTTTTTAGACACTTTTAGCAAATGAATAATTTTAAAGATATTTTATTGTGACGTCAAAACAACATTTCTTGCTAAATTTCGCGTTATTCAATTTATAGCAGAAACGTATATTATTAATATGAAACTTACATATTGTGGATTTAAATCCTTATAAGAATCAGCATTTCTTCCATGTTAATTGTGATTATTTTTTTAATATTACTGATTATATTCGTATGAGATTCTAAAACAAAATGACCTTCTGACATTTAATTTTCATATCAGACACATTATTAATAACATTAAGTGATGTATTTAATACTCTTTATGCATAAAAAAGACGCAATCAATATTAAAATGTTTTATTTAATGGGTAAGCTTCATTCAATTTCCTTAAAGTACTTACGGATTTAAAGCATTAAAATAAAATGAAGAATTAAAGAAAAATGATAGCAAATATTATAAATGACAAAATGAAATTAAAATAATTTACAAAATCAATAAAAAGTGAGTGTTCACCTAACGGATAAGTTACATTTTTTAAATGATTTCAATAGTTCAATTTTTATTTTTAAGGATCATAATTTAGAATTTCTTTTAAATAAAGTAGAATTTTAGATTTTTTTTCTTTGTTACAGCTATCCTTGATGATGTCGCTGGTGCCATTAACGCTCTTCTCTAGTGGTTAGAAAACGGAATTCCATAAAAATGCTACTTTTTTGATGAAATGAAGATTAAAAAAATTAAACAAAAAGCATTTATGAAAGTTGCAATGTTTTAATAGTAATAAACTTGGTATAATTACTATTGCATTTCATGGAAAAAATCAAACTTAATTTTTTGCAATCATACTTGTCACCTTTTACAATTTTCCATTTACATGATTTTTCCAAGTAGTAACATTTTTTACGCATTAATATATTTGGTAAAAAGATCTAATTAAAAATGATTATGCCCACCTCAAAATGAGAAATCAAAAACATATATAGGAACACTGAGATTAATACCGTGGATGAGTAAAGTGATTTTGAGGCTTAAAAATTTGCAAAATTATTTTAATACGGCAACTTCGTTCTTTTTACGTCCCTCTGTGGACTGATCGTAATGATACGGTTCTCAGCTGAACACCAAATTCTAGCATCACTGGCTGCGGTCAGTAAGTGGGTGGGTGATTACTTTGATCGGAATGTGTAGAGACTAAGAGTGTGTGGTATCGGTCTTCGTCAAACTGTTCTACCGTAAAGTGTTCGACGTCGAACACCGGTCGTCGGGCCATCAAAGCGGAGAAGCCATCTCTTCTGCAGAGGTTCAGAATTGTGATGGCATGTCTTCGGGTCATCTTCAGGGATGTTTTCGGGGAAAATCGTAAGAATTGAGAGTTATGAAATGGTTTCATGCGGTGACTTTAAAAAAAGCTATAGTTAGGAAAAAAAGACAATGCCATGTGCATGTAATACAAAATATGCACAAGAGGTGGTAAAGATAAAAAGTTGAGTTTAGAATGATATTTTTCATTATTTGTCCCCAATAAAATGGAATTTTTTAAAGTTGCTTATTCTGTCGCATCATTTAATAGTTGTATAGTAATCCTCTTTCCATATTATAACAATTAAATGTGAATGGACGCATTAAAAAATATTAAATTTATTCCCTAGGCTAAATGATAAAGAAATAGCTTGAAATGATTTACTTAAAAAAAAGTTTTCTTAGAATTCAGCAAAAATGAGTCAAAATAGCTCCAAATTAAAAATAGTCGAATTTGGAAACTCTGTAATTTCAAAATTACAACAGCATACACTCATTTTTAAACAAAATGCATGAGGAGGGAGAAATATGTTAGACAGATGCTCTTTGGCTGCTGACAGGATTCAAACCAAGAACCTTTCAAAATCAAGGATGCTATAACCACCATAGATAGTTGGGATACTTAATATAGAGGCAACCACAATAATATATCATCACTCACATCGCTTAAAAGTTTTTATGATATAGTGAATAAAGAAAAAGCGAAATTAAAATGATGGAAATCTATACTAAGCTATTGCGACCATATTTTCCCACCTGCAACTCTTCGTAGCATTAAAATTGTAAATTATTATGACTTGATGTGTCATTGCTGCTGCCACTATATAAAACTTCCCAATTCTTCCTCTACAACAATAGTGACTTGAGTATCCTGCTATGAACCCGGAGGTTCTTTTGTTCGAATCTTACCAGCAATTAACGAATGCCTCTCTCATACATTTCTCATATCATAAGCCCCCATTTTGCTCAAAAATAAGTGTATACTATTTCTATTTTGAATGAATAGAGTTTTCAATAAGTGGGGTTCGATTAGTATTTATTTATAGGCAATTTATGGACCCACTTTCTCCCAAGTTCATGAAACCATTTTTTAGATAGATTAAAAATGGACAGATTTAGTTGTAGATTGAATTTGTTCAAAACAACTTTTGCCATTGGTTGTCTGTCTGTCAAATGGCGGTTTTCAATTTAAACATTTTATTAAATACTCTGCTTGACAATTGGTAAGGAGCAGGTACGTTTTTCGGAATAATTCATAATAGACATTGATTTATTAAATGACACTCAATTTATATTTAGTAGAGGATATGTGCATTTATTATTATACAAAATAGTTCAGATATTGAAGTATCGAAAAATATTAAAATAAAAAATATAAAAAAAAGGATGCTTATTGGATGATTTCGAAACAGCTACAAAAATTTAGTCTTCTTACCAGAATAAAACAAGTATGAATATCTCTGTATGATTATCTCGAATACAAATGCATATTTCGCATCATGCAGTACACTAAATTATCAAGGAGTTTTTGGGGTATAGTGTCCCCCCCCCCCATCTTTGTTCAAGGCGGTTTTCAACTCTTGCAAGGTTTGATAAGGGCATGTTGTAAACGGTTTGAAAAGGCGTGTGAAGTGTGTAAAAAGTATAATGGTTTGGGGACATTTTTACAAATGAAAGAGAATGTTGTATTGTAAAAATGTCAAAGGACATAGCTTCGGAGTTATTTAAAGTAAGTCTAACTTCTAAAAAGTCTAGCGCAGTTTTTGGAAAATAACGTAAAGATATCCGCTGATGTTCATGATAGGTATAATTAGTTGGTCCTGGAACGTCATTTGTATCCTTTTTAAATTTCTTTTCATCGTAAATCAAACTTTTATCTTTTGTGACATTAATAATTTCGTAGGAAGACGTTTAGATTTTTTTCCTACACTTTTACTATTTTTATTACGAAATATTCCTAATTCAGAAACAAATATTGTTAGAGGTAGTGCATAAAAACGAAATTCAAATCTCTAAAGGAGAAAATATTAGCAAATATGTTTCATTTAATGAAAATTGTAGATTTAGAAGAGGTTATCATTTCACAGAATACTATTTTTGTTACGAAGATACATGAATAAAAGTTAAATTCTAGTTATGTTTATTTTAAATTATTTCTGCAATTTATTTACGTCTTGTAGCATAGAAGGTTTCTTGCTTTTAAATCATAATTTCTTTAAAAATGTCATATTTCCATAAAACTCTTTAAAATTTATTTTGTATTCTCTTAGTTGATCCTGTTCGCAGGCAAAAAATTAGGGACATAATGCATTGTTTTACTGATAAATAGTTTATTAGGTTTAATTTTGTAAAACTTACTTACTTTTTTACCGATTCCCTTTAACAACTTTTTTCGTATTTTTTGTTTAATTTTCGAAATAGTAAAAAAACTAAATGTGAAGCTTTGAAATTGGGATGCTCTGAAATCCAAGTGTCACTTGTTTGCTTTTTTCAATTCTATTCTTTCACAGCAACAAACACTAAAAAGTAGAGTTTAGAGATATTTAATTATTACATGCTATGAAAAGCGGCATTTTAAGCTAAAAGTAAAACACTGGGTGGAGTTAGGTTACAAATTCACAGTAATTTTGTTGCGCACAAACATGCTCTGGTATACGCAGAAATCAATATATTAAATCCAATTTCGGATAATTAAATAGCAGGAAGCATGTACTAATTTCGATTTTTTTTCCTGTGTAAAAGTGGATACTCAAATCTCAAGGTACTTTCTTCACTTTGAGCGAAACGATATCCTTGCATGCTCCAAGCGAACATTTTACCAAAGTGACGAAATAACTATCGCCACTTCTTCGAAGAAATGGATTTCGTCAAGAGTAAAGAAATCTTTAACCATTCTAGGTGTATTTCTCAAAAAAAATAATAATTAAGGGTGGCATTGTTGATCACTTTTTGTGGGTACCATCTAGGTGGACCAATGTTATCCCAACAACAGAAGAGGGACATATAGAATAGAGAGACTTATTACCAAGCCCGAAGCGAGATTCGAAACCGGGATCTTCATAGTGTGAGTCTAACTCCTTGTTTAGTTCGTAGACCAACGATTCTCTGTGCAAGTCGGAAAGCGTAACGCAGCAATATTCTGTGTGTACAGATGGAAATCAGGTGAGGTTGGAAGTTGTAAGATATAATTGGCTAATTGAAGATTGTGATAAAAATAAAACAATGAAAATGACGTTTGAAGATGAAAAATGGATAATAATTAATACATTTTTTTAGTAGTAATTTGTTGAGCTCGAGAGTTATAATTTTTATCCATAAGACTTTCAGTTAAATAAATGTTGCAGATTAATATTAATAAGGGCAGGCCATGGGAGACCAATCACCCGTAACATGCCTATTCAAAAGTCAAATTATAAAGTAACTGAATTGTTCCCTTAACAGACAGTGGAATCATGAGAAGAGACCCATGGTTGGCGATTTATCGAAAATTAGCATAGCCAAAAATAAAGCCAACTTCCCATAATCATTGTTACGCTTGAAAATACTTTGGCGAACGCGAAGCACCAACAAGACTGTGAGAATTAATATAACCATGTAACTGAAACATATTTTTGGTAAGAAATTAAAGAATACAGAGTTAATAGATTTTTGTTTTCGATTAGGTGCGACAGTGAATTAATAAGTCATGTCGACAGTGAATAATTAATAAGGAAATAAAAAGTTAGCCGTTACAATGATTGGCCAGAAAAGAAAAAAAAATATTTTAAGTTCGCTTTTAATAAAAATTAACTAATTGATTTAATTAAGCATAATTCGATTAAAAATGATTACGAAAGTTTTATTATTTAAAGTTAGGAAATATATAATTCTAATTGTGGCATCACACTATGATAATATTTTTTATCTGTATTTCCCTTTATTCTGACAACATCTCAAACTTTTTCTCCGATTAAAACATCCCCAATCTGCGACTGAACCTCCAGTATGCTTTAAAGTTGGTAGTAAACATTGATTTGTCACATGTTCACCAACTAAACGACGAACATACTGCCTTCGTTTGCTTCCAAACAACTCAAACTTTGACACGTCGCTAAAAAAGTGTTCCACGGACCAGTTAACATGTTTTTTTAACTCATTGCAGTCGTTTAACAATGTTTTGTTTTTTCAAAAGATGTTTTCTAGCAGCTGTACAACCTTATAAACCATAGTCGCGAAGTTGACGTTGTACTGTAGATAATGACACAGTTTTCTGCATAGTAATATTCAATTTCCCACAGATTTCTGGTGTTGTTTGAGTCCTCTACCGCTTACTGTGAATGCAGATGAACTTATCCTCATGTTTGCACATTATTCTAGGGCTCTTATTTTGGTCAGTTTTTTTCTACCTTTGCAAAGTTCTGACAACAGTGGTCTGGAAAACATTAGTTTTTAAGGGGAATTTGCCTATTTTAATAACCTTCTCCATGATTTGCAATAATAACTGCACGTGTTTCGACACTTATATCTG